CTGCTTTTTAGTTCTTTTTAGCCAAGTTTTTCAGGTTTTCGTTCCATTTTGTCCAGAATTGTGGGTTGTCTGAGTTTATGGCTGGAGCACATTTAGGAAGTAAGCCTTTCGGGATCAGATTGTGAGTTGCGTAGGCTGTGAAGCTAGTCGGAGGCGACTTTCGTAGCGTACGATTTTGAGTTTGGTTCTCTTGGCTTGCTTGATTGAAGATCACTTTGAAAGGTATTGAAAGGTCAGAGAAACGCAAGGGTTCAGGGTTCGTATTGTTTTTAATTATTTTAAATTTTCAGACTCTTATTTGTAACGAACGTTTAGTTTCATCTTCATTTTTCTTTTAGCCCCTGAAGAAAGTTTGTTTTTCAAACCGGAAATATTGAACAGATTCTTTTTGACATATATATTTTTTGTTTTATTCTTTTGTTCACTTGTTCATCGCCTTGCCGTAAAGATCAGTTTGCCCTATGTGCCCAGGAAGCGGGCGTCGGGGTTTAGAGCGGTCCTCCCAAACCGCCCCCTGCCCTCTAAGTAGCTTTAACACTCATCCAAGATGGCTGCCTGTCAGGCAAAGCGCTTACGGAAAAATAGGGCACTGTGAACAGTCTAATCTTGTTCAGACTTGCAGTGCGTTCCTTAAATTCCGGCTAATTCTTTTTGCGGAAGAGGTCCTAATCTCAGCTTTCTTCCCTGGGGGTACTCCCTTATATAAGCCATATAATCTGCCACCCCTAAAAGTATGGTTGTTGCTACGGTCTGAAAAAGGGTATAGACTTTACCCATTTTGATCTGGAATCGGGTATCCAAGGGACCTACGGGAGTGTACGGTATATATGAACGTATTTGTCGTTTGAACTCTAAATGAATGAGAAAGATAGCCTGAATTTTAGACGATTACTCCGAGTCGTTTTTACTCCCGCAGCAATAACCCGCGATCAGGCGGGTTTTTTTTTTTTTGGCGGGAAAAAAAAATCGACTGATCGCAGGTTGGCTCAGCAACGTCTGAATCGACCGGCCGTTAATGCTGTCCAGTGACGTCACTACCCGAAAACCGGGTTAGTGATTTTGATTGGTTGATTGTCTAAACATTCGCATTACTAGGTATATCGTACTCTATATCGTATCATATAGACATTTCCAGACGATTTTTCATTGTTGCCTAGCCCCTAGGCCTCATTATTGTGCGTGGCCGAAGCGTTTCGGGTCACATGGTCCGAGAACGTTTTTGATTGGATGTCGTTAAACAATAATCGCTTACTAAGTCTGCTTTAAATCAGTTACTGTTTAACCATTTGGTTGATGACATCCAATCAAAAAGAGGCAATCAGCGGGACGATTCCTCACTGGCACGTATGAATCTTGCTACTCATTTTGACCGTTCAAAAACTGTAAGACTTTAATTTTCTTCGAGGGCTACCTTCGGGCCTTTTGGATGGATTTTCGATCAGAAGGTACGAGAAGAAGCGTGAATCTTTCGATCTTTTTGCTACAAAGTTTGATGCGATTTTCGGGGAAAAATCGCTCCTGCGCTGGAGCCCTTTCAAAATAAGGATTCGTCCCTTGTCCTTCTACTGGTATAAAGAACAGTAGACGGCCAACTTAAAATCGTTCAAAATCGCTCAAAAAACCGCTTTTGAGCCAAAAGGACGACAGCATATCGCAGGTAAGGTAATTAATTCGACGTTTATTTAACATTGATTTACATACATACAGAGCGATATAAAAGGACAATCGGCTACACACACAAATTGTGTGGGGGCCCTGTGATTAAAGCAGAGGTGTAGTGATGTCACTAGACAGCATTTAACGGCCGGTCAAGGTCAGACGTTACTGAGGGGGCAAAAACCACTCGAAGTAATCGTCTGTAATTCAAGCTATAAGAAAGAAAGAAATAAAGAAAGATTAATACTCGAATTCGAAATGGATTTTAAGAATCCTTTTGTTGGCGTTCTAATCTAAGTTGATGAAAAAATTCCCGATCGCTATCACGACGTGACGTACTCACGATCACGTTCTTTCCGGTTTTAACATTCTTTTCGGTGACGTCATACTCAAGTCATTTCCTTATAATGTATCAAAGGGGTTTCCCCTTATCTCGTTTAACGTTCGCTAAATTTAGCGCCATAAAAATGCATATTCGATTCACGGCGTTCGGAAAGAGACGAAAAAAAGATCAGTCGTACTTGAAACGCACGAGAGAGGTTTTAGAGCCTAACTTAGGCATTTCGATTAGAACATGCCTGTCGTATTTTTTTTGGCGTCTATATCGCTGCCGCCGAAGACAAAAAGACCCTGCTTCGCCGCTGCTTTGGCACTCGCCAGTTCTTATTAGTCCTCCTACGGCCATGCTTGAAATGAAAGGATCTCTGATCGGCTAGTTTATTCTTATGTTTCGATTTCCAACTTTCTCTAATAGTAAGAGCAACATCACTTACTAAGATAAGGGGAATATCGAGGGAAAATAACCAAACTACCAGACCCAAACAAGCTGAAACCGAGCTATCAGGTTTTTTCACTTATCCAAGCGATCGCTGATTCAACTCAGACTCAAGATGGTGTCAGTGGGTTTATACATTACGTCACATGAGTAGGCGAGTGAAACCTCTAGATATAGGGAGGTCGTCCGTAATTAGTTTTGTAAAAATATCTTTTACAGAACTGGATGAATTGCAGAAGGTAGCAAGGATTTTACTGTAAGTAGAATTATTAATTGCTGACCGACTATGTAATCTGCTTTGCGTGACGGCTATGTGGACCAGTGCCAGCTGTGTGTGTCTCGTGTCGGTACGTAGTCTACAAAACTGAGGATTTAAGAGATACGAAATGTCACCATCAGTAACTTATATTTGAATATATTTTTGATATACGAAAAAAACTGTTCGTAACCAAGAAAGGAATATATAGTAGACGATAACTGAAGATTAAAGTATTTGTGATCGTATAAATTTTTTATTCAAACTGAGTCACGCCGAGTAGGCGTCTCAAATGCTCTACATTCGTAAACGTCGGGAATAGATTGGCAAGAACGGAAGAAATCTTTAAAAAACTAAAGTGATTCTTATGGAGAAACACTCTTGCTAGTTCAAAGGTCGTCATTGCGGTAAAGAAAACGTAAAAAGACTGGGGAAAATTGTCTACAAAAGGGAAATTAAGCATTTTATTTCGAACAGACTTAATCTGAGTAAGAATATATCTTCTGCAATACGATGTCCAAATCCACCCGTTCGCCCTGATATAGCAGTTGCCGTCCTCTTCTCTTGATTCAACTCATGGTCACACCCGTTCGAAAATATTGAGGGCCGGTAACATTTTTGAAGATAATAAATTACCAACCGCAAAGTACTTAGCAGACTTGACACGTGCTTATTGACCCAGGCAACAGGAACTGCCGGCGCGGATAGCGCGTGGAATCACTAATAGATCGCTTAAAATTAATAAATCAAGTCAGTGTTATTGGTTGTTGATTCGATGTTGATGCTCAGAATGTCGTTTGTTGTGCGCCAGTAAAGTCCTAATGCAACAATTTTACACTAATCAGTGGCTGATATTGCTAAATAGAAGACGCAAGGCAAGAAACTGGGTGCTACATGCGAATCTTTGCTGACACCATTGTTTACATTTTTCCTCATTAGCATATGACTTTACTCATAGAAGCTGTGGCCGTATATATGAACTAAATGCAAAAGTTGAAAGAGATGATTAATTAAGTTGAAAAATTTGTTCAATTTTCAGCTCTTTGCAAGCAATATGGAAGGAAATATCAGCCATCAAAAAGTGCGAAATTACTGTGTGGCAAAAAAGTTTAATAAGCCATACATTGTCTGTAAAATTTTGAGTTTTTAGAAGAGAATTTCTCCGAAACCATTCGGTGTATTAAGCTCAAATTTTCAGAGATATGTTAATGAGGCAAAAGTGTAAACAAAGATTCGCCTATATTATCGAGACAAATCATGAGGATGACATGCACTTCGAATTCTGTGGTGAGTCATGGACAAAACAAGACTCGTTGATCACGGGGTGGAATTCTGGTATTCAAGCATTCAGTCCGTTATGTCTAACAGACAAACTTCTTGAGTTTAAATGTATAACCCTCGACTATAGTTATAGTATGTTGAGGGTTACGTCGTGATAAGTTATGATGACTGCTAGCATTCTGTATTTTAGAATAGGTTCAATCGGCAAAAGATCCTACAAGCTGATTTGCCAGCGATTGGCAGCTTAGCAAGCTAAAAAAAATAATGACACCCAGGCGCACTTTTTTCATCACTATTTCGAACCATTGCAAAACGCAACGTAATGCACCGTCAGCCCGATTTCGTGCAATGCCTGTATGATAATGCCGAACTTGTCAGAATAAACTGACTGCTTAGGGGCTGTTAAAGCAAAATTTGGATGCTTCAATAATCTGCTACAAAAAGCCGGTAATCACTTAATGCAATAAGTGTCTCTGATCGAGACGTTTCACGGAACAAGTTGGTCAAGTTGCTCCACTTAAGTCAGGTGCACAGTAACTATCGGTTTCTCACGATTTCTACTGGGTTAAGTCAGAATGCACAGTCAAGACAAGTTATTTAAAAGTATCTGTTTTCTCTTGAAATTGTCTTAGCTCAAAGAATTTTCATCTAAGGCTGTACTGAAATGCACCTTAGAGAGCCATAGAGCCAAAGGCGGAATAATTGTGTTTGGATCAACGACAAAGTTTTTCCCTTTTAATAGCAAACGAGGAATAAAAATGTTAAAGGGGAAAGTACTGCATTTTCAGTCCACAACAGATGTTCCGACAAGCCAGCTCTCCACTATAACGAATGTTCCTTTTCTCTACTACATGTATCAGATTAGCTTACAGTTGGCTCCTTCGCATAACGCTACTCCGGGATTTGATCTGCATCGTTGAGTAAGGAACACATTAAGACATGGTTCATGGACAAAGACCTGAAGGGGTGTACAGTAACGAATCAACTTCTGTCAGTAATTTGTTGCATCTTTGTATTCTTTCCAGTTAAATCATGCCCGGATACGATTTATCTCCAGCGGACCGATCGATAATCGACAAAAAGAATTTATGCCCTAAATGTGAGGGACTTCTTAGAGAAGCTGTGCAAACAATAGCATGTGGACATAGGTACTGCAAAACATGCGTGGAGGCGATTCTAAGGTAAGTAGTATCACTGCTCGACACCAACTTAAATCGCTTAATATGCTATATAATGTAGATAATTGTCAAACAAACTGTAGAAAAAAACTAGTTGACATATCGCAGGCCCCAGTTGATCAAAAGATGGATCGCGCTACCCACCTGATAATCTCCATTATATCTGACGTGACTCAATTGATTTTCCTTGCATTTAATGACCATTTATCTGATGGATAATGATTTATCCAAAAGTAGGTTGAGTTTGATCGTCCGGGTGAACGTAGTCCTGAGTAGGACTGTTGTTGTTGACAGTGACTGACGTTTGATCAACAACCTGTGCGGCAGTCACCTACAGAGTCAAAGTGAGTTGTATCACGTCAGCTGACGGCATTATACTCTGGTTATTGACCTGATTGGTCAAATACGTCGCGATGTTATTGGTCGTCTGTCCAGCTGTATGTCAGTTAAGCTGTGATGTTATTGGCTATGAAGACTCGTAGTCAGTAGTTGGTGCGTTTCGATCCGTCCATTGTCACAGTTAAACAGTCGTCTATTGTTAGTCAAATTGTCAGTTCTCCAGTCGTTCTCTCGTAGTTAGTTTTGCTTGATCTCGTCAATAAGTCTTTTAATACGGTGTTGGTAACTGTTGGCTACGATTCAGTGGCGTTTGTTCTAAGTTAGTAAACCAGCTTTCTAAAGTAAGCCGTTGATAGTAGTCCCGGGGGGTACTCGATATATCCTTGGGTGGGGAGGTGCGGCTCGGCCCCTCATACCCTGACCCTGTTTAAGACAAAAATCGCTGATTTTCCTACCCTGTTTAAGACAGAATTCCGATTTTTGATTCCCAGTTTAAGACATTCGTAGAACATAAGCGCAGGCTGTTTATCGTCTAAGAACAGGGTTATGGGCTCCTGTCTAAGAAAAGATACCCTGTTTAAGACAAAAATGGATAAAATCGATACCCTGTTTAAGACAAAAATCCCGAAAAACATACCCTGGCTGGCCGCACGTCCCCATTAAGCCCTTATAAGGGAGGATCCCCCCCCCCCGGGTTCATGATATAAATTCATTTCAGTATATTTCAATTCATAAAAAAGTAAATGTTAAACTCATTGACCAGGCCATTTCCATCTAGAAAACTTTGCGAGTGCATAACTCTCCATGCATTGTCTTGTTGTTACTAATTTGCAAAGTATTTGTAGAGACTGATGAATGAACAACATAGAAACGTAAATCACTAAAATAAAAACAGTCCTAGGTCACTTCCTGTGGGACTCAGGGCCCAATGATACAATAAGCAGACAAAAATGAATGCTCGTAGCACTAATTACGGGCCAAAACATTGGTTGCATTATCAATAAATGACAAATTTGTGCTACAAAACCAGCCAAAAATGTAAATAATGCTAGTGGTGCTCTTTTTGGTAAAATAGATTAACATTATTTTCGTAATGACGAATTATGCCAAACAATCTATCAAAGCTTAGTACTGGGAACATTGTTGGGACATTTAACCGCTCCACTGCCGCGTCGCTTACCGTGCAATGCAAGAATATCTTGACCCGTTTATTTAACACCAACTGTGCATCAGTAGATAACGCTCCGACAAGGCCACTTAGATCGGCCTCTAACAACCTCAATATTCCTAGATCTAACTGTTGTACATATGAAGATAACGCCTTTTCAATTGCCGCACCGCAAATGATTTCGTCATTTAAGTCTAATTTAATTTAAGGAAGCATTTTGTTAGTTGCCTGATATGGACCACAGAACAAGCTTTTATTTTATATTTATTATTATAAATTATTATAATTATTATTATTTTTTAATTTCACATAAATAATTACATGGACATCTAACCGAATAGTACCATATTATAGATTACTACCATTTTTGTAAATTCATTCAGGCGTATGCGAAATCCTTATATAAGAGGTGCTATCATTATTGTTACTAGAGGTAGTTATTTATTATAGATCCGTGTTCTTCACTTACAGAAACGAGATCGAGTCGAAACGAGTCCAGCTTCCTGGCTGAGATGCCCCTGATAAAATCAGTAGTGGCGGCTAATCGGCAGTCGCCAGCAATACCTCGAAAATTTGTGCCTTTGTACCACAGGAACACCAAGATTAGGATGCTTTTTGACGAACGCGATTATGATTGGTATTATTATTATTATTATTATTATTATTATTATTATTATTATTATTATTATTATTATTTAAAGCTGCAACTATACACATGTTTACAGATATATTTAATATGTTACAGCTCCAAAAACAACCACACCATCAACACAGCCTCTGAGTACAGGAAGTCCAACAACAGGGATGCCAAATACTTTGAAACCAACTATCCCCCAAGTGTGCAGTGTGCCAGTTAACAAGACTGTACCACCCCTCTCCTGTGATCCACTATGTGGTACAGGTAACTAGTATCTACTACTCTTTGAATTAAGGAATCTGCAGGGAAGCATACTAGAGTACAATAACAGTCACGTAGGCAGAGTACAATATCAGTCGTAAAAATTACTATAATGGCCACATTAGCATTTTAGCAATAACTGCGAAAAATCCGTAAGCGCTACACTTCTACAGATATACTAGAAGGTTGTGGTGCTTATTTGGGGGTTACAGTTCAAGTACCAGGATTTGTCCCAAATCATGACATTTATTCAAGGACCCTGCTGTTTTAAGTAACTACAGATAATTTTTGTACCTGATTCTTTTTGCCGAAAGATTGGAGGAGGAGGAGGAGGAGGAGGAGGAGCATACCTCACCCTCTTCACACTATTCTGCCCCCTCTCCCTTCCGGGTACTTCATAGATGTGACAGTCCATTTTGAGAATGCCCACCATTATTATTTCTGTTGCAGGTCTGACGTATCACAGTACTGGAAAGTGTCTGTCCAACGGGCGTTGTCTCTGCTGGTGGGGGTGGACTGGTGCAAATGCTTGCTATGTCGACGGAGGAATTTATAACAACCGAATTTTGGTAAGTGTTTTTGTTACATGATTTATGGAAACAGCTTAGCTCAACTACAAGTGTTCTGATTAGTAAACCTTCTCTCAGTTTTACTTTAATTTGTTTACAGTTAATGGTATAACAAGGAGGCCCTCCGATGTCATGCACATTTCAGTGGGCACCCAGGGGAGAGATCTTGAGACCGCCCCCCCCCTCCCCCAAGGGAGTACCCCCCCCCCCGGGATAGTAGTCTATAGAATACATTGTACATGTTGCAGAGTCCCAGTCAATTTGATGTTTCGTCTGTGAATGGTGTTCAGCAATGTGATTGTTGACGTCACCATTCCTCGTCGCTCGTTTGTGTTCGGTCAGTCGGGTGCTAAGGTTTCAGCCAGTTTCACCAACGTAGGGGAAGCCTGGCAGTCGCAGCATTTGATCTTGTATACTGCTCCCTGTCTGTCCTCCGGTTTGTCTTTGTCCTTAACATTAGTAAGCAGTCGCTGTAAAGTGGTTATCGGTTTGTGTGCAACACGTATATAATAAGGTTGTAATATACGTGCGATAGTTTCAGAGGTGCCTCTGATGTATGGTATAGTCGCTGTCGTAACAGGGCCAAAGTTGACGTTGGTCTGAGTGTTACTGTGAGTGTTTCGTCTAACAAAGTCCGTTTTGTAATTGGTCTTACTAAAAACGTTGTTAAGATAATTAGTCTCGTGTTGTAGGCTGTCAGTTGAGTCGCAAGCTAGTTGTGCTCGTCTCGTCAAAGTCCGGATAGTAGTGTAGCCTTGTGAGAGGTCAGGTTGTACGAAGACTGGTCTAGTAATCGGACGGTATGTGTCGGTTTTCTGTAAATAGTCGTGTGCAGTTTGTTGATGTCGCGAGTGACCAAGCAGTTTAGAAAAGGTATCTTACCGTTTTCTTCGATCTCCTTGGTGAACTGTATCAGTGTCCGCGTTCTGTCTGTCTGTTAAGGTGCTCGTGAAGATCGTCGATTCCGTCTTTGTGTACGGCGGTGAATGTGTCGTTAATGGAACGTAACCGGTAATTAACCGGTAAATCGTTACGGCAGATAGCCCGTTAATACTTTGTAGATAATTGTATACAGGCTCATATACCTGAGATAATTGCCAAATATGCTGTTAAAAAGTAGATATTCTGATATCTGGGTGTGATGCAGATAATTTGTAAATGCAGTGTAGATAATTTCACTGTAAATTTACTGATCCCAGATTCCCTCTTTTACAGGCAGGAAGCGGGAAAGTGCATCATTGATGGAACAGATATTACTAAAGAACAGGTTTGTTATCGGCACACAGAACAAACGAGTGCTCCACAAAAATAGTTTGTGTTAAGTTATCATCAAAATTTCTAAATGAACAGGTTTTAACAGATACAGAAGCCAACGTTTCGCATGAGAGCAATAACGATAACCATAACCAAAACGATAGCGATGACGATAACGGTTATGATAAATATAATGAATAATAATAATGATGATGATGATGATGATGATGATGATGATGATGATGATGGTGATGATGTTGATGATAATAATAATAATAATGAGTTCCAAATTGTAGGTGTTGCAAATGAGAATGATCTACAGCCATATTTCTTCAACTTTGCTGATGGTATTGTCAGGAGCCTCTTAGAGGCAGATCTTAAGCTTCTTGATGGTCTATAGGGTTGCAACATTTCTGCTATATAGGAAGGTGTTGACCCATTTAAGGCTTTAAAGGTTAACAAAAGCATCTTGTATTTGATACGGCCGTACATGGGAANAGGTTTGTTATCGGCACACAGAACAAACGAGTGCTCCACAAAAATAGTTTGTGTTAAGTTATCATCAAAATTTCTAAATGAACAGGTTTTAACAGATACAGAAGCCAACGTTTCGCATGAGAGCAATAACGATAACCATAACCAAAACGATAGCGATGACGATAACGGTTATGATAAATATAATGAATAATAATAATGATGATGATGATGATGATGATGATGATGATGATGATGATGGTGATGATGTTGATGATAATAATAATAATAATGAGTTCCAAATTGTAGGTGTTGCAAATGAGAATGATCTACAGCCATATTTCTTCAACTTTGCTGATGGTATTGTCAGGAGCCTCTTAGAGGCAGATCTTAAGCTTCTTGATGGTCTATAGGGTTGCAACATTTCTGCTATATAGGAAGGTGTTGACCCATTTAAGGCTTTAAAGGTTAACAAAAGCATCTTGTATTTGATACGGCCGTACATGGGAAGCTAGTGTAACTGTTTGAGAATTGGCGTGATATGATCATGTTTCCTGGAACGAGTTCCAAGGCGTGCAGCACAGTTTTGGACAACTTGTAGACGATCAATCAGAGATTGACGAAGGCCATAGAGTAATGAATCACAACAATCTAATTTAGAGGAAATAAAAGCATGAAGATGAAAATGATAGTGTCAATGATAACGATAACGAAAAGTATAATGATACTGATAATAAGGAATGGGCAAAGTTATGATTACCAAATTTTGTTTTTTCACTTACGGTAAAAATGAACCGTTTGTTGTCGTTGCAGGTATTTCTTGACCGATTTATCGAGCGTGAAATCCAATCACTCTTGGTTCATTGCATTCATCAAGAAGAAGGTTGTGACTGGAGAGACGAGCTTAGGAAACGAGAGGTAACTACTGGGCTTCTAAATTGTACTGTTCAAATGAAATATAATGATTTATACACTGTACTGGTTGCTACTAGCTGTAAGTTATATCTGTGTAATAGATAAAGACTGTTACAAATTAACCTCTGGCCCTAATGGCCAGAGGGTCTCAGTGGGGTTCAAATCATCAGCCAGTGGATGTAAAAGTAGTGATCCAAGATGCGTAAACGTTTGAAACGTTTTCACCGTAATTGTCAAAAAAAAAGTTAATGGTCACTTTATATCCCAGCCGGTGATGGTACTAAAAGACCTTGCATAAAAGCCAAAATTTCAATAAAATTCACCTCATTCAGGTAGACTCTCTTAACATTCAGGCTCGAGTTCTGTAGAAATCTGTAGAGCTATACTCTAGACATAACAGACGATCTTTCAAATAAAGCGATTTTCAGTTGAGCCCAAGTAGTAAAGGGGGCATGATTTACTGCGTAAAAGTAACAACATTATCTGAGAAAAGGCAATTTCAATTGGGCATGGCTGAATAAAAGTAGTATAAAGCGCATGATATGATTTGCCTCGTGTTTTTAGCACAGGAATCTTATCAGCATGTGTAAAAAGATTAATAAAGCGATTTCAACAGCGCGGAAGTAGTATAGGGCGAATGATTTGCTACTTGTTTTGACACAGTTTTATATACTTTAGTCTTAGATTTTACGATGCTCCCAGTTTAAAATATGTCGATTGTACAACAACGCTGTTCTTCTTCCGTCTTTAGTGCTATTTTGTTCATTATTGCCAAAATTGACAATTACATGTTCTCGTATGTTAGGATCACGAAGCTGTGTGTGTATACATTCAAGTTCCATGCGTTCATTCAGGATGCGGTGAACTGATGACTAGAGCAAATCTGGTAGAGCATCTTGAGAAGTGGTGTCAATTCAGAATGGAAAAATGTGACTACTGCCAAACTCTTGTAGAGTTTGCATTTTTGAAGGTAACGATAACCCTCATGAAATTGTTTTTTACCCCTAAGTTGTCCTCATTTGGGATACGATCCTTTCACTTTTAAGTCTTCCTTTGCAACAACAAATTTCCATGTTGTGAAGTTATTCATCGGTCTTCATAAGATCACTCATGCATTTTTAATTTCTCTTTCTCTTTATTCTTCTAGTCATACCTCTAACCCGCTAACATCTGAAATCGGCAGAAGTAGTTGCTAGTGTTAAGTCTCATAAACAAGAGATCTTTTCTTTTTCATTCAAAACCCAGTCAGCTTGGATACTTTGTTCACAGTGATCTCTAAACTGATGACTAACATAATTAATTATACCCAGGAACACCAGGACTCTCAGTGTCCCTCAGTCCCAGAGACTTGCGCTGAATGCGGGAGAAAGGGTATCCCTCGTTCTCAGGTGAGTAAGCCTTACCAGCCTTTCTGATTTGAAAACTTTTATTTGCGAAGTTGATGCTCACTGGCATCACTGGATACTTTGCACAAGCACTTTCTGCAATCGAAAAAAAAAGGCAACGCATCTAATTTTGTTGTCCTCCATGCTCCGAGAGGTTTCTTCTTCCTGTTTTTTTGTTTTTGCATACTCCCTGAAACAATGATTCCAGAGTTCCACTTCGCGGTACGAAAAAAGATGGCACCACGAGCAGAACTCTGGGTAAATCGACCAATCTATCTTTTTCCATACCGCGAATTTGATCGTTTAATCAGCAACACATGCACGTTGGTGAAAGAGTTCTTAACAGGTAGCTCTTAGGTGTTGCGTGGGTAACAAATTTAATTCAAGAACATTTTACATCATACTACATATAGTTACCGTAACTCTGGAATAAAACGTTTGGGACTTAATTTTGGTTTTTATCTTTCTCACTCCATCAGATGCCTGCCCATTATGATCCGGTAAACGGAGACTGTGAGGAATTACAGTCAAGTTGTCCATGGGCACAAATTGGATGCCCTGAGACAAAGGTATGCAAATACTTAGATTACTTTTGTTACAGGAGGGGATCGTGCTTTAGAGGGGAAGTTGAATGTTCAAAAATGAATGGCATCGATCGCTTTTTGTGTAAAGTGCCGCCACACGTAAGATGACTTTCCCTTGCCAGAGCAAAGCCAGAACAAATGTCAAGGATTTGTCTTACATAAATTTAAAGACTTCTGTGGAGGAGGGCGGGAGATCTTTTATATGTGATTTTGTCCAGGGAAAACGTTTACTGAGTGGTCCGTAGCTTGTGCAGGTTTGCGAAGACGTCTCCGGAAAGCTCATACTGAGCCTTGATCAAAGCTAGCTACGGGCCACTTTTGAATCCGGCACTTGAAGTTTGACTGTATGCTCCAAGTCAGCAATCATTCTGAAATTTGTGGAAGGGCTGCGTGTTTATTAACGTTTCTGAGCTTTAATATACCATGTCGTTTTCGTTTTGTTTAGACTATGAAGCTGCAGGAACGAAGAATGCATGAAGAGGAAAATGCTTCCGGTCACCTGATGCTCCTATTTCAGACCGTAATGCAGCTCTTCTCAATGGTTGGGAAGACCATGCGGGAATCTGGTCTCGTGTCAATGAACGGCGTAAATCTACCAAAACAGAAAGATTTGGAACGCTATGCTAAACAAGTTGAGAATATGCTGAAAGAAAATGAAGAACTCAAATCAAAATTGGCTCAACAAGAAGAAAGAGTAAGGCAACTGGAAAGTTCTAGACAGAACAGGTCAAACTCAGCTTCAGCATTTGATTCAACGCTCGCCAAAGAGCTTTTACAGAGGATGACTACAGAAGAAGGAAAGACAGCCAATCTCGAACTTTTGCTTGTTGAAGCAAACAGATTAAATGAAGAACTACAAAGAAAGGTGTCTACCCTAGCCAGGCAACAGGAGTCTTCGAATGGAACAACTGATCGGCTACAAAGACAGTTCGAGTCCATGAGTCACTCACTAGCACTTCGTAATGTTATGCTGACAGATTTGGACGAATACGTGAGGCAGCAGGAAGTCTCCAGTCACGATGGAATCTTGCTTTGGAAAATCACCGAGTTCGCTAAAAAACGGCAAGACGCCGTGTCCGGGCATCAGACGTCATTTTATAGCCCGTGCTTCTTTACCAGTCGCTATGGATACAAGATGTGCGCACGCATCTACTTGAATGGTGATGGTATTGGAAGAGGGACACACATCTCGGTATTCTTTGTTGTCATGCGTGGTGAGTACGATGCGTTACTCCGCTGGCCATTCAGACAGAAGGTAACGTTCATGCTGCTGGATCAGAATAACGTAGAACACGTGATCGACTCCTTCAGACCTGACCCAAACAGCTCATCTTTCCAGAGACCAAGAAGAGAAACAAACATCGCTAGCGGGTGCCCTACATTCTGTCCCTTGTCGGAGTTAAACGATCAAGCCTACGTCCGAGACGATACTATGTTTCTGAAGGTCATAGTCGATACGACGGATTTATAACGCCAAGAGAGAGAGAATGAGCTATAATTGTAGCTCATTCTCTCTTGATAACATTGGTTTTAGAAAAATTGTCAAGTTTTCAGACTCTTGAGACAGCGGAGCGAGAGGGAGACTGGGGAGAGAAAGGACAGGGGACGTAGGCAACGTATCAATCTCGATCTGGCTTGCATACTTCTATTTAGGACATTGTGTACGGATATAATATCCTTTGTCTATTTTATGGTCGGGTAGCTAGTCTCACCTGGTTATGTTCTCACACAGGTAGTTTTTATTTATGGGTTATCTCACCATTAGGAGTTATTTTTTACGAACAAAGAAGAAGGAAACAGTAATAAATTAGTAAATAGGAAACATGCAGAGGTTGACAATGACTTTTAATAACCGAATTAATTGTGAACTATGAGACGGTATAGGCAATTTTGGACTTGAAACGATTTGGAGACCTTTTTTTTACAATTTGGAGACTTACATTGTGAGTGGACAAGCAACTTGAAAGTCATACTTACAGTGAGCTATGGTAATCGAGTTGTGTATGTTCACCGAGAACATTAAATATTATATATTTAATCAGTTAGACTAGAAGGCACATCAGAGGGGGTTTTCCGGGGTACTCCGGTTTCCCCCTGTTAGTTCAAATCATATCTTTATGGAAGTGCTACCCATGAAAAAGAAATGGAAAAAGTTTAAATTGTTTGATATTCAAACTGGACTTGTCCTGGTAATAAGTGAAGAGACTCGACGAACTGAAAAACACGGTGAAACTTGTGAAATTGTCGCCCTGGGTCGAGAGTGTAAGATGTAAGTTAATGAATTTTTCAATGCTAAAGATGTGTAACTAAGTAACTAAGTAGCTTTATATTCTGAGACGAGGACGACTACGAGTACGAGATTTTCTCAATACTGAGTACCAACGTCATTTTGGCGGGAAAACGTGCTAGCCGTCGTCATTCTACTACGAGTTTTAGGAAGATTGTCAAAGTGGCGGGAACAAGGTATCACATGTAACAATTTTTATGAATTTACTTGCTATCGGGAGAGGGCTTAACCTCTTTCAGTATAAATACGCGTAATAACTTTTGTAGTGAAAAAAGTAAAATGGAGCTAAGCTTTCCGGAGTGTCTTTTTTCTTGAGAACGCGCGTAAAAACTTTAAGTTAAATATCGTACTCATTCCTGTCCTCAAATCTAAAGCTCTCGTTGGTCTCTGGTACGACTGATATTGACTAGCCGTTCAAAACTAGAAAAGACGAACTTTACGTCTCTAATAAAAATGAAAAATTGATATTAATAGACACAGTGAGAATGTAATAAACTGTGAAAAGTACTTTTGAGAGTGTTTTGTTCTTGTATTTGTGGACTCTGAAAAAATCTTCGCCAACGGAACCCTGAAGTCCAGGCCGGTTCCAGTAATTTTACCACTAACTGCATCACTAGGGAGCGTTATAAGCATTTTTGATTGACGCACGTCAAACGCTTTATATACGCCGTGACGCTACCAAATTTGTATCCCTGAGACTCTTTACTCTTTACTCCAAAAATGTGGGCAAAACCACTGCCAAAGAATGCAAAAAGTCCAATTCTGGTTAACGTGCGTCGCTCAAATATTAACCTCTCCATTAACCTCCCGAAAACCAAGGCTGATGCCAGGTCGCTGTCCGTGGATGTGCACTAGATCGACAAATGAACAGAGATTCAAACCCTATATATCAGTTTTCATTTCCTCTAAGCTTGCGTCGGCACAGTTCATTAATCAGTAATCTATAAAGAAAAAACAAAAGATTTTTATGTTTAATGAATGTCTTTAAATCTGATAATTTAAAGATACGGCTTAACTTAACGATCGATGTTTAATTTTTGACCAAAATAACCCAAATCTACACAGAATGAGTTGATCTATATCAGAGATTTTGTTCAAGAAACTCCCAGGCTTGTATCACAGCAAAACGCCGCGAAGAAGAACCTAGGATTTAAGAACCTTCTGGCGGAAATTTGTCATTTTAATTCTCCAAAACATAAGAACCAGTTTAGCCAAGAAAAATCAACAGGTTCTTATATGATGGGTTACACTACATTTTCATAAACATTTTGATCAAAAGTCTGGCTTTAATATGGGAAATTTATATTACATTATATAATAAATGTATAACGCATACAGCCATCGTTGAAAACTGCGTATCTTCTATCTTTTGTTAGATTTTTAGTAAATAAATGCCATTATGAAGGACAAATATCATTTATAGCAATTTCTTGTAATCAGCAACAGTATCCTTCTTCATAAAAATTAAGAACCTAATTAAGAACCTATATAGTCTAAACTTCCAATAAGTACTCCAAACTATAAGAATCTATTTTGCCAAACTTCAAAAAATCTAGGTTCGTCTTCGCGGCGTTTTACTGTATCAGGTCATGTAAAAACTCTCGGCTTCGGCCTCGAGTTTTTCAACCTGATTATACACTCCTGCTGGTTTTTTTTTTAACATGAAGCACTTGGTCGTGCAAGATTGTCTTTTAAGACAAAATTTTTTCTGGTTTCGACTAAAACGAGTTAAGGTTAGTCTACGAGAATGATTTTTGTTCGCGGTACATTTATCATACTTCTTTACATATTTTACCGTAATACCACATGGGCTACAAGAAAATGAATTTCGACCAGTGAAGGTTAAATTTATGTTAAATTATAGTTTGATTACTCACGTTGAGGCAGTCATTATTAAATCTTTTATGCCCACGTAAATATTTAGACTTGGGGAAAAGCCTGAAAGGCGCTCCGTTTGATTCGGAATTTTCTACAAGAAATATATGGGCAGAAAGGAACAGAAAAAGCCCTGGAGACTATTTCAATGATAGTAAAATTCAAAAATAAATTAACCTTCACTACTTGACAGCTAGTAAAAGGGACTAGAGTAAACGGGCGATTCAATTGACAGGATGACATAATTATCACCAAAATGCCAAAGGAACTCAATGCAAAACCTGATAATTATATTCGATTGTAAGTCTTATATATGAGTACTTGTTAGTCCTTAATTCTGCACATACATATAGCAATCTTAAAAATATTACGAGAAAATCATAAGAATCTTCTTGTGGGTTCACGTTGTAATAACAACAGCAACAAGCTAGAGCTAGAGCACAACTTTGGAATCATGGGAAACTTACCGGTATGGCTAACAGATTATCTATCTGTGCGGGAACAGTATACTGTAATTAATGGCGTACCCTCTGAGAATACCAATGTTGCACACGGTATACTACAAGGCTCCATACTTGGGTCCATACTCCTCGCCTGTTAAGCGAT